ACCTTTTCCCACATACCATCACAGGAATAGATCTTCTAAATAAATTAATCTGTGACAATTTACCAGCATATTCATTACAAGGAAACATTTGTTAGGTTTTTACAAGGAAAAATAATTTAAGCTACTTACTCTTGAGAAAACTAAAAGAATACAATTCAACAGTAATTGGGTAAGATTGTATTTAGACCATGTGAGCTAGAGGTATATCTGTACTAAGTGACACCCACAATAAAACATACCAAATGCATCATACTTGAAACCACAATCAAGAGTTTGGAAAACTGTTGAGAAAGCAAGCCAGAATTGCATTAAGACAGTACTACAGTTCACTTCCAGCAAGATGGCCAACTGGTGGCACGCTTGGGGAGAGATCTCTGAAGGATTTCTTCCTGGAGTGCAGCTCTTCAACCTTTTAACTGAAGGGACTGGTATTCAGTTTTTAAAACCCACCCGGTCAGTATGGGTCAAAGAACTTTCCCTCAGAACCCTCCAAAACAGCTGCAAGCCAGCAGACGGCTTCTGGAGCTCATCCGAAGCAGTCTGTAGCCAAAGGCTGGGGGGGAGGGGCTGTAATCTAGTTCGAGTTTGAAGAAGCCGATGTTTGAAATCCAACTTTCAAATGGATAGTAAGTTGTTCCTTTCCCTTCTTAATCACCTTCAAAGACTATTATTTTTTTCAAGCCAAGTTAAAAAGAAGTTCTTTTTAGTTACAGTCTGCTGTGCCTTTTTGAAGACTCATGCCATTTTAGGGATTTCTCTTTGTCTTAAATAATAAGGGGCTGTTAAGGCTGTTAAAGCAAGCCAAATAAGGAAGTGAGGCTTCCGGTTTTGCACACTAGCTCAGCAGCCAAGGTATTGTGGGGCTCCACACCCTACGGCCGATTTCTGCCTGCTAGGGGACCCTAAATGGGCTTGAAGTTGCCCATAGAAGCAACAAGGAAGGAAGGAAGTCCCGCTGATTGCGGAGAGATGGTGGTCGATCCGATCGGTTTGGGAAAAACCCTCCAGAAACCAGCAGGAGAAAGGCTAGCTTAACTTCAGAGTCTAACCCAAGCTACAAGCAGCCGAAGCCCAAAAGCACTACTTTAAGCTGACTGTAAACAACGTGTTTGGAACTGGGTAAGAATAGTGATTTTCTCTCTTCTACTTGAAAATTGATTTCCTGGAAAAAGAAAAAAAGAAAAAGCTTCCGAAAGTGAGAAAGGGGGGATCTTTGACCCACCCTCCTACAGATGGAAGCAGTGAATTAAACTTTTCAGGGGGAACCGAAATATACTGAAATGAAATGAATATAAGACCTAATTTGGATAAGATTGAAATTGGTGGAAACTGTTAAGAATGTCTTTTTAAACCATGAAAATAGAAGTAAATAACAGAAGTAAACAATTGTCTATTACTGAAAAATGAACTGGTGCTGACATCTAGTGGTGGATGAAAATATACAACAGCAGTTGCTCTATTACAGGAGCTGGTAAAGCCCAGGAAAAGATAACTTGCTTTTGGTGACCTTCAATGTCTTAATAACAGAGAATAGCTGTGACAAAAAAAGAGAACATTTTGGGCTATTCATAAAGTGAGATTTATAAACTTTAGGGAAAAATTGACCTTTCTGGATTATAAATACTAACTCAACTGTTACTCTAAAGCTATCTGCAGAGAAAGGAAAACCCTGATTTTTGGCTATCATGGAAAACCAGCGATCTGCAGAAAGAATATATCAAGAAAAAACAAATACTTTCCAGAAGGAGATCTGTGCTATGTTGCAACAAATCCAAACAACAATGATCTCAAACCACGAGGAAATTAAAAATAACTTTGAAAATATAAATGAATAAATCTCCAATATAACTTTACAGCACAAAAATTCTCCAAAAATAAAAATAGAGTGAGCAAAAAAACAGACAACTGAATATGAGACAAAAGAGAGAGATTTTAAGATGGATCTTAACAATAAAAGGAAGTATGACTTAACCCAGATGGAAAAAAACTTATAGGAAATATTGGACATGGAAAAGATAACCTATACTCTAAGATTACAAAATAAGTTTGAGGACAAGAAACAAGATTTGACAAAATGGATTCTACTAGGAGAACTCCGAGAGACAAAAAATGATAAATAAAATCAAGAAAGAAAGAAAGGAAAAGATGAATGGGGGCGAAACCTTCCTATAAAAACAGCTTATCTGTTTTGTCTTTTGTACCTGTAACAACACTTACAAGATTATGGGAGGATTCTTTGATTCAGCAAAGCATATTGATCAGGAAAGATGTTTGGCAAAAAAAAAAAAGGCTAAAGTGAGAATTAAGAAATTAGATGATGGGATTTACCAGAGGGAATATTTAAAAATTATAAATATCTGTTTGACTATGATTAAAGAAATAGAAAGATTTTGGATATAAATGAAGATTAGTTTAAGAGGGATGAACCCCACAAGTAATATAGTATTCTTTCTTTCTTTTTTTCTTTGTGCTTTGTTTTTTGACATGAGAAATATAAAAATGTTGGGATGGTTTATATAAAAGAAATGTTTTGTTTTGTTTTCTTTCTTTTTTAAGATATGAGAAATGTAAAAGTGTTGAGATGGCTTGTATGAGAAGAAAAACTTAAATACTTAAGTGTAACTAATTTTGAGAAAATGTTAACCAGTAAGAATGCTTTGAATATTGTGGGGAAAACAAATTTAAATAAGAATTTTGTAAACAGGATCTATGATGAGGCAATCAAGATGATCAATTAGAAAAGAATGTGGTTATTATTTTCAGAAAATGTCTAATTTAATTGTCATTTATTCAAATAATAAGAAATGTATTAATTTATGGTTGGCAAAAGAGAATATTATTGGAAGAAGAGAAAATCAAGCAAAGCCATTACATGGACTATAGAATTATAGAAATTAATTGTTATTGTTTTTTAAATACTAACGCAGACAACACGCTGCTTACCAAATATTAAGGTAATTATGTTAAAAATCAATAAAACATATTTTTTTTAAAAAGGAAGTGTGGTGAAGAAAGAAAAAAAAGCTGATGGAGACATATAAAGAATGAAGCCTGTGATTTTAGTTTAATATTGTACTAACTTGTAGCTTGGTTTTCTCTGCTGTGGGTGGCAAAAATTTTCTGATCCTGACTAAAAGTGGAAGCCAAGATGGATGAACAGAGTATTAGAGATATTCTTGAAAGGTCTTTAAACAAAATTTGCCAATTTGTTGACCAGCTGTGATCTAAGTATGATAAAAAAATCCTCTCAAATTACTAAGATGCAAACATGTGGAGCATGCTATGATACTACCAAGGCAATTTCACAAATAGCTGTAACTTCACAAGTAGTTAAAAATGTAGAAAATGCAGAGCAGAGCATTACAGTTTTGGAAGAACCTGATACTAACTTTTACTATTATGGTGTATAAAACTTGCAACACAAGTGAAAGAAGAGCACTGAGAAAAAAGATAAATTCGGTACTTTCTCTTTAAGGACATTAACAAGGCTGAGGATTACGGTATAAATATAAAGCTCGCAACACAACTGAAAGAAGAGCGCCGAGAAAAAAGACAAATTTGGGACTTTCTCTTTAAGGACATTAACAAGACTGAGGATTCTATGATAAAAAGAAATTCCCGGGTAAAACTTCTAGACAAGAAAAAGATTTTATTCTATGAAGATAAGAAGGAGTGACCTAAATTTAATGAGACAACTGGAACCAGGATGGGGTTTTTTTGGTTCAAATGTTTAATTGAAAGAAAAGTTCAATTCAAAATTTGAAAATGTAATCTTTTACACACACACACACACACACACACACACACACACACACATTATATATATAATGTTTAAGTAACTTTTAAAGTAGGCAAATGTTATTGAAAATCTATTTGAGAGTACTCATATTAAGAGAATTGGATCTATATATATATATATATTGCTGAAGTAATTTTTAAAATATGTAAACTGTTTTTGAAAATGTATTTGAGACTACTTGGGTTAAGAGAAAGCTAAAGAAAATGATGTACTAGTTTAAAGAAAACTTTGTGTTCTAAAAATGATGTTTATAAAAGGAAGAAAAAATACTATTCTATAAGAATAGTTTGGAGGGTGGGAGCTAAATTCAATATTGAAATTCAAAGCCTGTATGTTAAGAAGCTAAAAGGAAAAAAAAGTATTAGAAAGTTTTGATTTTAGAAAAGTATTTAAAGAAAGTTTAGCATTTTTCTTTTTCTTTTTCTTTTTTTAAAAAAGGGGTGGTGGTGGAAAAAAAAGTACTTTTCCCAGTAAGGTCAAAGAATTTGAGAAAGTATAGTTAACTTTGTTAATAGAAATGCTGATAGTTTACAAAAATTAGTAGGGGCAAATAGAAACCTATACTATTTCCACAGCAAGTTAAACCAGGAATGGTTAAATTGATCATTCCATTTAAAGAGGAGAATATACTTGAATATGTTTTTCATTTGGATACCATTTCTAGATTTTGTACTTGTGATAAAAAAAATTGTATTTTTGAATTTGGTTTTGTTAATTAGATGGATTTGCTGTTATAGAAATTGCTAGTTATATAATAATGTGTAAAAACAAAAAGTTGAGGCTAGAGTGCTAAAAAGAGTCGGAAGTCAACACCTTTTTTTCTTTTCCCTTGTATCTCACACCTTCTATTCCCCTTTCCTTTTCCTTCCCTTAATCCCCTATTTCTATTTTTTCTTTGTATTTTATTTTTTACTAGCTGTACCCGGCCACGCATTGCTGTGGCTGAGTCTGGTAAAAGCGTGTGTTGCTTTTACGTCCAACAGATGGCGCTGTTTTTCAAAAGAAACATGTTTTTACCTGTCACAGGGGTGACATCTATATAATATAGGTATATAAAAACACGCGCGTATTCAAATGCAACATTGTGTCAAAATTTCAAAGCAATCGGTGAAGAACTTTCGGAGATTTAAGATTTTGAACAAACGAACATTTACATTTTTATTTATATAGATATGTTAACTAATATATATATATATATATATATATATATATATATATATATATATATATATATATATATATATATATATATATATATATATATATATAAAAGACAGTACTACAGCTCTCTAGGAAAGATTTTATTTATACTCCACCTATTTCTTGTTGGACTCTTCTGGGGATGCCAGATATGGTTTTTCTCCTTCTCAGTTTCCGTCTTCGCTGCAGTACGGATTGGGAGTGAACAAGGGAGCAGCGTATACTAGCTTCTCGGTCAAAACCAACTCCTACAATCCATAAATAGGTGACATTAGCTTTTAGAAACAATAAACAACGGCTTTGACTGGAAGACCACATTGGGTCAAATGAACTTTTCAGGTTATGCCTGAAAATAAATAGAAGGCAGACTTTACAATTCTAAAAAAAAATATTGCATACTACAGCTAATCCCATTCACAAAAGAGAAAAGGAAGTGAAAGAAATGAGAGGAAGTTAGCTACTCTCCTTGTAAGGACTATTTACCAAAATGTTTTTCAAGATTGTTACGTTCTAGTGGCCCTGAGGTATGTAAAATGAAAGTTAGGATTCAGGAGGATGAACAAAACATTTTCAACTGTAAATTACTAAAAAAAAAAAAAGAAGGAAAAAAAAGAAAGATTCTATGCATTGCTGGTATGCTGTAGGCAGGTTAATATACTATGACAAATCCAAATGTTTTTGGATTTCCATATGTCAATCCATATAAAATATCATTCAGATTGATTCATAGTTGTATCTTTTAGCACTGATTTCTTGGTACAGAAAAAGAGACAACCAATTAGCAAATTTTTTGCCTCCAACTGGCAGAGTTTTCTACAGCTCCAGGCAGGATTTATTTGCCACTTAATTTTTAGATCTGGAAATGGTTGAAACTGAAGATGGAACTACCTGACTGCAAAACCCATGATGTTTCACTGAAGTGGAAGTTCATTTTCAACTGAATGCTTCTCCTCTCATTGATAATATGAACAGAGTCTTGCTTCCATTTGCTCATAAACTTGGCAATACTATTTTCTAAACAAATACATCACAGTCTTTTCTCAACACTAAAAATCTGGTGTGATTTGAAAAAGCAGTATATGAAGAAAAATATTATTAAAATATTATTAAAAAACAATAAAACTCCCTCCATTTCTAATCCAACAATGTATACTCTCAGTATCTGTCAAGTGTACTAAGTAGGTAGACTGGGTGCTATTGTGCAATACTGTATTTCGTCTATTCTGAACTGTTTTTTAATTAGCTATCAATTTTTCCTTTTAACTGTAACCTGCCAGGAATTATCTGTTGGGGACTGGGAGGCAAGAAATGACAAAATGTGCACATGTATCATGACTTATGATACAAATACATAATGATGGGACTTGCATTACAATATCATTTCACACATCATTTTACATTATCATTTTAAAACATTGTGATTTACTGAGAATGCCACTGTTTTGGAGTCCAGTGGCACAGAAAATTCATAAATTTATTATTATACTGACACACACACAGTAATTATATTGTAGGTTAATAATAATAGTTGTACAAGTATTCCCACTAAAACCTGATACATTAAAAAGATGTACCTGAAGCTGAAAAACATTTAATGCATTGTGTATTTACAAAGTGTAGGCTGAAGGAGAATACATAAAAGCATTGCAGATAATTCAATGTGGCATTTTCATCATGGGCAAAGCATTCAATGGGAACACACTTCATGAGCCTTCAAGCAGCCACATATGGTTTTGCTGCACATACTACCCTGATCAAAATGTTTTCTGGACATGGTCAAAAGAAACTGCTGTTTCTCTGTAAGTACTGTAGTTTCCCTTCAGTAATAAGAATTATTCAACCTAATTCCTGATATTGAACATAAGCCATGTTGATTTTGGCTTATAAATAATAATATACTTTATTAACTGTATAAAACCTGTACTAACATGTTTAGCACTTTGTTTATTTTTTTATTTTCTGCTTCCTTTATAAGTGAGTCTATCAGATCCATCTTCTGATTACAGAAGGAAATGTCATAGTGAGTCCAAGATTTCAGTCTCTAGATCAGGGGTGTCCAAACTTTTTTCAAAGAGGGCCAGATTGGATGAAGTGAACGTGCTGGAGGGCCGAACATTTTTCCGAACATTCTTTGAACCATTACAATTAAATGCAAATGAATTATTTTATGCCTCTTTCCTCTCCCTCTCTTTCCTCTTTCTCTCTCTCTCTCTTTCCTTTCCCTTTCCTCTCCCCTCTCTCCTCTCTCTCTTTCTCTTTCCTCTCCCCCTCTTTCTCTTTCCTCTCTATCTTTCTCTTTCCTCTTTCTCTCTTTCTCTTTCCTCTTTCTCTCTTTCCTCTCTCTTTCTCCTTTCTTTCCTCTTCTCTTTCCTCTTTCCTTTCTCTCTTTCCTCTCTCTTTCCTTTATTTCTCTTTCCTCTTTCTTTCCTCTCTCTTTTCTCAATCTTTTTTCTTTCCTCTTTTTCTCTCTTTCCTCTCCCCCTCGCTTTCTTTCTCTCTTTCCTTTCTCTTTCCTCTCCTTTCTCTCCCTCTTTCCTCTTTTTCTCTTTCCTCTCTTTCCTCTCTCTCTTTTCTCTCTTTCCTCTTTCTCTCTCTTTCCTCTCTTTCTCTTCTTTCTTTCCTCTCCCTTTCCTCTCTTCTCTTTCTCTTTCCTTTCTCTCTTTCTCTTTCCTTTCTCTCTTTCTCAATCTTTTTTCTCTTTTCTCTTTCCTCTCCCTTTTGCTTTCTTTCTTTCTTTTCTCTCCCTTTCCTCTCCCTTTCTCTTTCCTCTTTTTCTTTCTTTCCTCTCTTTCCTCTTTCTCTTTCTCTCTTTCCTCTCTCTCTTTCTCTCTCTTTCCTCTCTTCTATTTCTCTTTCCTCTTTCTCTTCCTTTCCTCTCTTTCCTTTCTTTCCTCTCCTCTTTCTCTTTCCTCTANTCTCTTTCTCTTTCCTCTTTCCTCTATTTCTCTTCTCTTTCTCTCTTTCCTCTTTTTCTCTTTTTCTCTCTTTTCTCTTTTTCTTTTTTTCCTCTTTCTCTTCTCTTCCTCTCTTCCCTCTAACTTTCTCTCTCTCTTTCCCCTCTTTCTCTTTCCACTTTTTCTCTTTCCCTCTCTCCTCTCTTTCTCTTCTCTTTCTTTCCTCTTTCTCTCTCTCCCTCTCCCTCCAGGTTAGGAGAGAGAGAGAGAGAATGAAAGGCAGATGGCGCCGAACGGGCGGGGAGAGCAGGACAGAAGCTCCCGGCCGCACCCCCATCGCTTCTTCAGCCGAACAAGAAGGGAGGGGCAGGGAGGGGGAGCAGGACAGGAGGCAGCGGCTCTGGCGGCAGCCACTGCAGCATCGTTGGGGTCCCCATCACCGCCCCTGGCCCGGCCGCCGCCCCCGCCGCATCCTCAGCCACTTCGCCGTCTTAAGAGGGCGCCAAGGCTGGGTGCACCATGTGTGGCCGCGCCGGCAACGGGGAGTGCCGAGGGGGGGTCCCGATCGGCGCCAGCCCCGCCGCCCTCGCATCCCAAGGTCTCCTCCTGCAGCAACGAGGGCAGCAGCGGCGGCTCCCTGAAAGTGCCTGAGGAAGGTGCCACTGATGGGGCCGAGGTGGGGCCGGGCGGCGGAGAGCCCTGCGGCAGCCAGGCGAGCTTCATGCCTGACTGCCGTCCGGCCCAGGCTAGGGAGACATGTGGCCGGTTCGGCTTCCCGGGGAGTGATGCTCCCGCTGGCCGCCGCACCAGCCATGACTGCCGCCCAGCACGGGGAGACATGTGGCTGGCTCGGCTGCCCAGGGAGCGGCCCAGGAAGCGATGCCTCAGCTGAGACTGGAACAAGTAAGCCGGGGGGGCGCACCACCTGCCCCGCAGCCGCTTCGCGGCAGTGCTCCATGAACTCAGAGCCCCCTCCCTCCCCCCGGCACTGACCCTCTGTCTCCGGCTCTGCTGCTGCTTGGCACCGGCTGGGCATCGGAGGGGCTGCTCTCGGGGCCGCGGTTTGCGGGAAGGCTGGCCCGCTCAGCGGAGGCTCGGGCAGGCCACTCCCAGCGGGGATCTTGGGGCTTCCCCACATGGCTCCCCAGCCACGTGTGCCTGGGACGGGGCCAGCCCGGGAAAGGGACTTCCTGGCCGCCCTTCTCCCAGGGGGCAGGGCACCCGGGCGCAGGGCCAATGAGGAGCCCTGCGAGGGGGCAAGTCCCATGAGAGAGAGAGAGAGACAGAAGTGCAAGTTCAAGTGCCTCTGTCTCTCTCTCTCTCTCTCTCTCATGGGACTTGCCGGAGGGCCGTGGGAGGGCCGCATTTACATAGAGCAGGGAGGGCTGTTAGAGGGCCGTATTAAACCGGAACGCGGGCCGCAAATGGCCCGCGGGCCAGACTTTGGACATGTCTGCTCTAGATCAATGGAACAAATACTATAAGATACATCAAAGCAGATTTCCTTCTGGTTGGTTTAGGAATTTATTACTGTACTTTCTGTAGCACTGTATAGCCAAATGACACACTTGATAAATTTGTAAATTTTGTAAATTTGGATTGGCTGCCCATGTAGCCATTTTGCATCACTGGGACTGTCATTCATATAGCTCTTGATGTGGTTTGTTTTTTTACTGAGTGGGTATGACGGGACTGGCCAAAAGTTATTTAGCACGATTTCTTAAAATATATGGAAGTGTGAATTTACCTTGGAAACTTCATTTATAGGACCACCCTATCCACTGTATGTGGAATGTCTATAAATAACTTCTTATTCGTTCTCCTATTCTTCTGAATGATGATTCCAGAAATGTATCTGCCACGTTGATGTTTTAATTGGGACATCCCTTATGGGCTTCAGTGATGCCCACAGCATCAAGTAGACAGGGAATCAATTTATTGTGGGTGATGGTGATAACAACAATAAATAGGGAGCTCATTCATTTCCCAAAGACCTTGGTTAAGACTTTGATATACTTGAAATTGATATATATATATATCGAGCTTCCAGAGGTTGCTCTGATACTTTGAGTAGTTCATCCAGGAGAATCAAAGTGACTCTTCAAATTATTTTCATAGGTCTAGTGGTTATGACTTAAAAAACCTAATACCTCTTTTTTAAAAAAGCATTGGTATGCTTTGGTATGCTCTTTGTTGACTGTTCTTGGCAGACAACTGAGGAATCTTTATGCCACTAGTTCTTATCAGTGTATAAATTAAGCAGTGTATTAACTCTGACAGTGGTTATTTTTTATTTCTGCTTACTTTGTAGTGACATTATTATTATTTTATTGTGTAATGATGTGTAAACTTTCATGAGTGCTCAGAGGCAATACTGTGTACAGAGAACCTTTTGAGATCTAAATGAATAGATTAGTCTACTCTTCATGACAGATTTATTTTTGGTGTAATCTATGGAATGAAATGAGGAACCAATGAGCCAATACAGCTAATTTAGAAATATTACCAGTCATGGATTTTCATTCTGACTTCATATTTTATTGCAAATTCCTGTCTCTTTCTCTCTTTTTATTTATCATGTATAATAGAAGAAAGAAGATTTCTATATATTATATGCAGATACTGCATTCTGATAAGTGAAGGGATTTTTAAAATAAATTGTACACATCAATTAGAATATTATTCCTACACTCTTGGCCTTGGAGCATTATGGAAGGCATTGAAGCAAATATTAAAATGCTATTAATTTGCTGCAGCACTTATGATTCATAACATACACTGTTGGTGAGAAATATTGCACTGTTTTATTCCAGCACATAACAAACATGAGTATCACGTAGTATAAAAGGCTGCTGAATTTAACTATGCCTTTCTAATATAATTATATCAGCATCAATGTCCATGGATAATCACAATATAGAAATTTAATGAGATGTTTTTCTCATTGAATGTAATGGGGCTAATTCCCATCTTAATAGATATCAAAGTTATCAAAGACTTTTTTCAGAAATCTTACATATACCCGTTCCTATCCTTTTGTAAGGGCCTAAAGTCGTGGCTCTGCTAGATGGCTTGGGGCCCCAATGGGAGAACAGCACAATGGAGATGGTTGATTAACAACAGATCCTACCTCCCACCATTCCGTCCCTACCACGTGTCCTTAAATTTTAATGTTTGGTTTTAATTTATATTTTAATGTGTATGTATGTGCATAATGTATATGTATAGATACATTTTTATGACTGTAAGCTGCCCAGAGTTACCCTATGCTAAGATGGGGTGGGGGGCAATAAAATGTATAAATAAACACATTTGCTATTTGTAAAATCCTATATTTAGAGAAACATTTACTGCAATAAAATAAGCTATTAAAACACCTTCAAATCAACCACCACAACAAAAGGACAAAAGATTTGTACCAGTGACATTGATGGGGATAATACAAGAAGAAATCACTTGGGCATCCTGTTTCATTTTCTCCTCTGGAGTTGGGAGAGGTAGTGCTTTGCTCCAATTTGTTTGTTTATCCAGTGTAGAAGGTATATTATTTACTGGATTTTTCAGCCTCTGCCCTGACATGACATCTGTATCTTCTTCTTCAGAAGGGTGGTGGGACTGTAAATAAATACAATCAAAACTAGCATCCATGCACAAACAACAAAATAGTAAGAATTGGAAGTAAAAAAAAAGGAAGAAAGTACCTTGGAACTTGTAAGAACTTTCTTTCAATGGCTACATAGCAGAAATATCTCACCTATTGAAAACACTTAGGCTTATCAGCCCTTAAGATGTATGAATCTCTGTTACCCGCCCCCCAATCATTATTGTCTCATTTAGGGAAGAAGAAAATTGTAATACAATGCATCTGGAATGCAGTAGCTCATGGAAAGTTAATTTAGGAATTAAAGATTAACACAGAATTGAAAGTAAACATTTCAAATCATGTATACTTAGCAGAAATGTGGGATATCTGTACGATCCATGCCATTTCTGCAGAAATATGTAAGTTTGAATGTATTCATTCTGTTAAAAATATACATTAACAAATAATCATGTCATGTTGTTTGCATGTAGACTTAGAAATGAACAATTTACATGTGGTTGACAACCTGCAGCATTGATTTCAGTAGAACTTTAGCACGGCCTTATGAATTGATCTCATGTTTTGTATATTTTGAAAGAAATACGTATTTTGTATTTTTAAAATATCTGATTTTTGTTGTTAGTAGCTGCTGTGGAATACAAACCTGGTTCATTTGATTAATTTACTGTTCATAATTCAGTGTTAAACCAAAAAATGGGGCTTTGGTCTCCAAATTAAGTATATCATGTGAACACAGCCATCTAACAATAAATACTGAATATCAAAAGAAAAATTGAAAAGTAAAGTTTGAACCAGGACCTTTAGAATATCTAACAGCCAGATGTAATTCAGAACACATAATTTAAACAAGGGACAAAAGATAAAGAAGAACTAAGAGAGACCAACTACCTCAACGAGTAGAATTAGAAAGAAAGAAAGAAAGGAAGGAAGGAAGGAAGGAAAGAAAGAAAGAAAGAAAGAAAGAAAGAAAGAAAGAAAGAAAGAAAGAAAGAAAGAAAGAAAGAAAGAAGGCAGGACTGTTGTGCTTTGTTGTTTTACTATGTGAGAGTAAAAAGTTAGGACAATCTAGACAATACCTAGAGAACTAAAAAATGACAGTTTCTTGAATGATAAATACACCTTTTCCCATTTTTTTAAAGTGCATATTTTTTCATTTAATCTATCATGATACTCTATAGACTAGAAGAAGCCATCCTAAAGTCTGTATATTATCTAAATTCAGTTTTCAGCTTCAGTTCTGATGACTTCTTGATATTTCGTCCTTTTGTTTATTCAGAAGCATTTCATTCTTTTAGTTTTTGTTAAAAAATGCAAAGATTAAATCTTGTCCCTTTAAGTTTGTTAAAGCATTTAAATATTTTTATTTTTTATAACTGAGACCCACATTCAAATTAACTTTAGTTTATTTTTGTCAGAAATGTCCTGCTTAACATTCCTTCTGAATAGACTTACAATCATTCTTAACCCCCGACGTCTAAGCTGAAGGCTGCACTTCACAGTGTTTATCCAAGTTACATCAAGCTGCTTTCTTACCTTGTCAGAAATGCCTGTAATATTATACACAAAAATATAAAAGGGACCGGTCTTCTTGGAAGATATTTCTGTCCATCTCTAGGTTAGGAAAACATTGCCATTTTCATTCTTTTCAGCTTTTGTGCTGTTTCTAGCAGCCATGAATAGTTCATATAAACTACAAGCACAAAAGATTTTGTTTCCTAGGTAACCTCTGAGCTAAAAAGTTGGTGCATGCAAAAAAGGGGGAGCATATAGCCTGCATTAGCTTGCATTTTGTGACCAATACTTTCCCTGCATAACAATGTCTTTTGGACAAAGAGAGTGAAGTGACCTGACCACAATCTCTGACTGTCTGCCAGGGTTGCTCTTCAGCAAACAATAGCAGTGATAACAGTCCTTTGACTAGGTCCATGCTATGGCTTTAACATCATTGGATGCATTCTTGTAGTTTTCTGAGATCGCCATCTATTTTTCCCCAGCTACATACAAATTTAGTTCAGGCATTTAAAACTGATCGGCAAAAGGAAACTTGCTCATGGTCTATTAAATCTAATAAAACCTAACACCATATTAGCATGGAGGATGAAAAAAAGTTAATGTTCTTGTTGATAAGAGCATGAAATAGACAACAAAGTTAGTCAGCCAAAAAAGCAGCAAAGAAAGATTAGGGAGTGAAAGGGACAGATTGTATGAGGAGGTTTTATTCGTTTATCTTCCAATACCTTTTTACTCCATGGGGTCATGTGGCAACACTCAGTAGGGGAAGACGAGCGGGTTCTATAAAACTATAAATATGAAATGTGGAGGGAGAGGGAAATGATTAAAATTTAACGCATACAACAAATGTTTCTGTGCTTTTTGATCAAAGTACATCTGAAATGCATGCTGTAGCATTAAAAAAAGTTTCTTCATAAGAAATAAACAATATAAATCTATAACGTTTTTGTCATGAGAACCTGTTTATTAACTATAATATGCTATTTAATTTCTGTATATTTAGACAGAGTGGTTAGCTACATGGGGATGTTAATGAGCATAACAATAATCATGTGTGTAGATTTTTCCCACACAAGCTGTTTGATAGTTGACAATACCATCCTTATAGCAGGAAACCATTCACTGATTGTTTAATTCAATTTCCCCTGGTTTCAGGGTTTTAGATCATACTATATAGCCGTGGTGGCGAATCTATGGCACGCATGCCACAGGTGGGACACAGAGCCCTCTCTGTGGGCACGCGCACCGTCGCCCCAGTCCTAGGCCTTCAGTCCCATCCATGAGCAACCTGCATCAATACCTGCGCAGGGTAAGGATGCTGCGCCCTCGCCCGCCTCCCCCAAGTGGTTTCTTTATTAACCTACCTTTCAGCTGCATTCTGTTTCCTTGTTTGTTTCTCAGCCTTCGCCGCGTGTTTGTGGGACTATCGGTAAAAAAAAAAAAAGGTCCATCAGACTTTCTAACTTCTTGCGAGATCTCCAGAAGTTAGAAAGTCTGATGGAACTTTTTTTTTTACCCATAGCGAAGGCTGAGAAGCAAACAGAGAAACGGAATGCAGCTGAAAGGCAGGGGGAGGTGAGAGCATCTGGGCGGGCGCGGCAATCTTACCCTGCTTGATGGTGGGAGGGTGGGGTGTGTGCCCTTCCCATGCCAGGCCAGGACACCTGCAGCCCCAAGGGTGCTCCTCCTCCTCCTCTTATCACGCGTCGCCCCCCCACACCTTCAGCGAGCGGCGCAGGAAGGGTTAATAGTGGGCGTGGGGGGCCCGGGAGGAGATGCACAAAGCAGGCAGAAGGGAGGCTGGGCAGATTGCGGGTGCCACTCCTCACCTCCTCCCCGCTGCCGCCGCCACAACTGTTTTTGCCAAAGCGACCCAGCCATCACCGCCACTGCAGTCCCGCCTGGCTTTGCTGCTGCCATGCTGCTGCCCCGCTCCGGCCCTAGGCAGTGCCTCTGCCCTGTGCAGCTGGCCCGCTTGCGCCCACTCTGAGACCGCAATCACCTCCACACCACCGCTGCCGCTGCAGTTCCAGCCCAGCCCAGCCCCAGCCAGCTATCTGCAGCCTCCCAGCCACATTGCGCCGAAACTGGCTGTTTGCCAGCTCCTGCCCAATTGGAACAAGCCAGGCAGCAGTAAGAAACTGGTATACCAGTTGCTTACCTCCGCCCATCTTGTTCCGCGGCCTCATGGCAGCAGCATTGGGTGTGATGCACGAGGCTGCAAATGGCCGCAGCCAGAGGCAAACAGCCATGTCGTGCTGAAACCAGCTGTTTGCCGCCTCCTGCCCAGTGCCGCTGCCATGAAGCCGCGGAACAAGCCAGGCAGCGGTAAAAAACCGGTATACCAGTTCTTTACCTCTGCCTGGCTTGTTCCGCGGCCTCATGGCAGCCGCATTGGGTGTGACGTGCGAGCCGGCAAACAGTCATGTCGCGCTGAAACTGAGGGGTCGGCAGGCTGTGGCTGCTGATGGACACAGTTGGCCCCCATGCGCTCACTGTGTGCGGGGGCTGATGGTGTCAGGCAGCAGCTACCCCGGCTCCTGCCTCGCCTTGCCTTGCCCTGCGGCAATGGCACCTCTGTCCTGCCCCCTGCCTCGCCTCACCTCACCCCGCAGGACGAGCCTCCTGCCCACCGTTCCACCTGACAGAGTCCTCCTGGATCTCCCCCAACCCTGCCTGGCCCTCACAGGGGTCCCTCCCCACGAGCAACATCAAGTTGGCCACGCTGACCCCGGCCACACCCACCCAGTCTGCCGTGACCATGGCAGCCATCCCCACCCAATGGGTCACGCCCACCCAATGGGCCATATCCATCCAATCGGCCACACCCACCCAATGGGCAATGCCCACCCGGCACCCGACAATACATTAGTGGGTTTTGGGTTGCAGTTTGGGCACTCGGTCTCTAAAAGATTCGCCATCACTGCTATATAGTCAAACCATGGAAATGGATATGGGGAATATCAGATTGGTAACTTTGCCTATTAATCTCAAGTAATCTAGTCATGGAATTTCTGATGAAATGGAACCATGTATAATTTATAAAAGCTAGTTAACCCACTGCAGCATTAAAACAACTTTTAATTTTTCTTCATAATGTTGCCCTTATTATTTTACAATATTTTTTTCATATTGTATGTACGTTATTCATGAAATTGATTGCTGTTAGCTGATGTATCAATAACAATATCAATATCAATAACATTGTCTATGTGACTTAATATTGAAATTGGCCATGATGGCTGAGAATGATGGGAGTGATCATCAAATATTTGGAGGGCACCAATTTAGAGAAAGAAGAAGAAACAATCCATGAGCTGCAAAACAGAATACACTCTCAGCATAAAAGATGGTTTGAGAAGAGAAAATCCCCTCTTTCCGCATGTAAATATCTCTGTCACGTGACGCAAAGCCAAGCCCCACGGAACCTCACTACCACCTCTATTCTTGTAAATCAGGGGTGTCAAACTGGCGGCCCATGGGATGGATGCGTCACATGCAGGCCACACCCACTCTGGCTCCGCAAAGGCAAAAAATGTCACATCATGTGATGCGTTCGAGTTTGACACTTGTGTTGTAGATACTTGAAAATTTTGGATGACCCAAGTCAGCAAGTTGAAGTCCAAACATCTTCAGGTTGTTAAGGTTGAGAAACATTGACTTAGAGTAACAAGGCCACTTACTTTCAGTGAATTTTTATATAACTTGAAATGTAATGAAACCAGCTTTTTCTAGCATAGTGCCTTGTGTCTGTATCACTACTACAATTTTTTTTTTTACTATATTTGGTGTGAATTTGACTTCTGAGAGTTGTAGTACCCCCACTTGAAGGATTATAGTTTAGAAGAAGCTAATTAATCATTCAATAAAAGAAGACTATTTGATGGCATCTTCTCTAGTTAATACACCAGCATGACTATTTTGCAATAGAATTCCTCATGTTATTGCTTTATTGACAATTATTGTCACAAATAAATGCATATATCCTAGCATAGGCTCCTTCTGACTTACACAAATGATTACTCATCTGTTAAAAATTGTCTTGTATTTAAATTTAGAATTTATAGTGAGACCAAGAAAAGGAGTAAACATTTTTTAAAAAATTGTGGTTTGATTAAAAAAAACATAACAGCAGGAAACTGAGGTAAGGAAATGAACAATTGTTCACTTTGTAATCTACTGATAATTAGGCTTCACCTTTATGCCTTTAATAACAACGTAACAGAGGCTTGGCAGATGCTGTTTCTCTCGGCATTACCTGGCAATTTTTTCTCCGTCAGTTGCATTGAGAAGATGAGGAAGAACTTACTTTTAGCAAGTGATGGTCCTTAGTCTCTTTTTTCTTCTTAGTGTGGATCACAGGAAAAGACGGAAATGGGGGAGCTACCACAGTGTGGCTCACAGTTTTTTGTTCTCGGTTATTACCCTGATTTCGGTGCTCTGTAAGAAAGATCATTGTTCAGCAAGATATATTGTACATTTCAAAATAGGCTCCTGGCAGAAAATATGTGAACTTCAATCTAGATGAACTGCATGATCATTACACTTAGTGATGAATTACATGCAGTAACTATCTATGCATAGTTCTGTCAATATATTTTGACTTTCAGAATGATCATATTGTAAATGGCACAGTTAGGGAGAATGGAAAGCCTCTGAATGAACTCATGGCAAAAACACAGATATTTAATTGGAAGTTATCTCTTACATTATATATTTCAATGAAAAGTGGTGGAATTTTCTAAAAAAGTAGTGCCTCGCTGATAAAGCCAATTTTATGTGGTTAAGGTATCAGGCTAAAAAACTAGGAGACTGAGGGTTTTATCCCATTTGATCACAAAGCCAACTGGATGACCATTAGCCAGTCACTCTCTTTTAGCCCTAGGAGCCAGGCAATGGCAAATTACTTCTAAACAACATTGCCAAGAAAACTGCAAGGACTTGTCAGTCACCAGGAATTAAAAATGGACTCAAGGGCACAAGTGCTTGCTTATAAATACACTTCAGTGATAACTAATTTCACGCTGTTTTTTATTGGATGCTATGATGAAACTAACATCTTTGAAAAATACATGTATAAAAAAAACAAATTCTGTTTTCATTTATTCTCTTTCATTCAGCATCTATCATCAATAAAACCCATATGGTAGGGAATGAAGATGCCATATTGTAACTTTGACTGTCCTGAGGCAAAAATTGTTCTACGATTGATGCAAAACATTTAAGGCAAACTTGAATGTAATTGTATTTTGAGAAACCATTTTAAAATAAAGAACAGTAGAAGTATAATGTATACTTCTCATTACATATGACATTGTGTTTTGGAAACATATTAAAGTCCTGATCTTAATATATTTTTGTTTTACGTTCTTTATTTAAGGAGCTATTTCCTGACCACAAGATGGCAGAAAAAGATAAAATTTATCTAAAACAGAACAGCTAACATCCAGAGAGCTCTGTTATAATTTTACTATCACTATAATAATATTTCCCCTTTTAGCTCTTTGCAATCCTATTAAAATAAGTCTCACCCTCTATTTGTTGTGAAATTATTTAATATATTATTTTAAAGCAATTACACATATTTTCAATATGCTGTTATTGTTCTGAAATGTTAGGAAGAGAACAGATTATTTATGTTAATATCTAAGGATGACATGTTTTAAGAATTCAAAAGTGGAACCTATCAACTATTCCTATCAAAAGGAATAAAATCTAAATCCATAGGTATATGTATACTATAAGGGGGGTGGCAATTTATGTACAATAGACCTTATCTTAATTTATTGCCTTAGCAGATGGCAACAACTAAGCAAGCTTACTTTGAAAAGTGTTAAACAGAGTTTAGGCCTGATGAATGCTGGGAGGAAAGACTGTCAGGAAATACCAAGATGTAGGCAAGATTGGGAAACTGAGAAAACAATGAACTAAAACAATGGCAAATTATTATATTCTAAAATAACTACAGTGGATTCAGAAAGTATTCAGAACCCCTTCATTTTTGTCAATTTTGTTATGCTGCAGCCTGATTCTACAGTTGTTGAAATTCATTTTTTCCTCATTAATCTACACTCAGTATACCCCATAATGACAAAGTGAAAACAGAATTTTAAAAATGTCTGTAAATTTATTAAAAAGAAAACAACTGAAATATCACATTGGCATAAGTATTCAGAACCTTCACTCAGTACTTTGTTGAAGCACTTTTGGCAGCAATTACAGCCTTGAGTCTTTTTGGATATGACGTGACAACTTTTGCACACCTGGATTGGGGAAATTTCTGCCATTCTTCCTTGCAAATCCTCTCAAGCTCAATCAGATTGGATGGCAACTGTCGGTGGACCCCATTTTCAGGTCCCTCCAGAGATGTTCAATAGGATTTAAGTCAGGGCTCTGGCTGGGCCACTCTAGGACATTCACAGAATTGTCCCTAAGCCATTCCTGTGTTGTCTTGGCTGTGTGCTTAGAAGCAATGTCATATTGGAAAGTAAAGTTTCAGCCCAGTCTGAGGTCCTGAGTACTGTGGAACAGGTTTTCATTGATGCTATCCCTGTTCTTTGCTTCATTCAGCTTTCCCTCAATCCTGACCAGTCTCCCAGTCCCTGCTGCTGAAAAACACCCCCCAGCATGATGCTGCCACCATCATGCTTCATTGTTGGGACAGGTGATGAGCGGTGCCTGATTTCCTCCAGGCATAATGTTTAGAATTGAGGCCAAACAGTTCAATCTTGGTTTATCAGACCAGAGAATCTTGTTCCTCACAGTCTGAAAGTCCTTCGGATGCTTCTTTTGCGAATTCCAAGCGAGCTTTCACTGAGGAGAGGTTTCGGTCTAGCCACTCTGCCATAAAGCCCAGATTGGTGGAGGACTGCCGTGATGGTTGTCCTTCTAGAACTCTGTCCCATCTCCACACAGGATCTCTGGAGCTCAGTCAGAGTGACCATCAGGTCCTTGGTCACCTCTTTTACTAAGGCCCTTCTCCCTCGATTGCTCAGTTTGATTGGGCAACCAGTTCTTGGAAGAGTCTGGTTGTGCCAAACTTCTTCCAACTGAGAATAATGGAGGCCACTGTGCTCTTAGAAATCTTCAGTACAGCAGAAAGTTTACTGTAGTCTTCCCCAGATCTATGCCTTGAAATAATCCTGTCTCTGAACTCTGCAGGCAGTTCTTTGACCTCATGGCTTTTGCTCTGCTACAGCATGCATTGTCAGCTGTGAGACCTTCTATAAGCCTTTCCAAATCATGTCCAATCAATTTAGTTTACCACAGTTCAACTCCAAACAAGACGTAGAAACATGTCAGCAATGATCAAGAGAAATGGGAGGCACTTGAGCTAAATTTCAAGTGTTGTTGCAAAGTGTCTGAATTCTTATGCCAATGTGATATTTCACTTTTTTCTTTTTAATAAATTTACAGGCATTTCTAAAATTCTGTTTTCACTTTGTCATTATGGAGTACTGAGTGTAGATTAATGAGAAAAAATTGAATTTCAACAACTGTAGAATCAGGCTGCAGCATAACAAAATTGACAAAAATGAAGGGGTTCTGAATACTTTCTTAATGTACTGTACATGGTGTTCATAAAAACCCTATGATATGAAGATGACACGATATGACTTAATTTATTACAGATGAATTTTGTGTGGTCGGCTTCTCTCTAATCTGATTGAATTGTTGGCTGAAAGTAACTACAGAGTTTTCTTTTTCCTAACCAATTTATCAAAGTTCCTGCAAGATTAATGTATAGTTTATGGATTTAACCAATTTAAAAAAATTAAAGGCAAGCTGGTTTTCAAATTCACATTCTTGCGAAGTGATGCACTCAGTAATCTGTAGTACTATTTTACAAGTATGTTTTTAAGCAGAAAACAATGATCCATATATACAGTAAGAGAGATCTTGGTAGCAAAGAGAAACTGTCTGAAAATGGATTTTAATGTAAGAATGAGAGGAGAGGAAAGTTAAAGACGTAAACTGGCCTTGCCCTATATTTTGCAGCCTTCCCAGAATTTTAAAAAATAAAAATGTTCAAGACCTGGTCATGGCTACATTGGCCTTGTTGGACTTGTGAGCTAACTAATGAAGGAGAGCTGAGGAAAGTAAAGGTGAATTAACATGCCATTACAGGAAATGCACTTATTTCATTAATTACTCTGGAACCTAAACAGGTAGTCCTCAACTCACAGCCACAATTGGGACCAGAATTTCTGTTGCTAAGCAAGGCAGTTGTTAAGTGAGTCATGCCTGATTTTATTACATTTTTGCCAAGTGAATCACTGCTAAGTTGCTAACTGAATCATGTGGTCATTAAGCAAATCTGGCTTCCCCCATTGACTGCTTGCCAGGAACCAGCTGGAAAAGTTACAAATGGCGATCCCTTGACTCCAAGTTGCTGCAACCATTATAAATATGTGTCAGCTGCCAAGCACCCAAATTTTGATCATGTGATCCTGGGAATGCTGTGACAGTCATAAGTTTGATGACCAGTCTTAAGTGGACTTTTTTCAGTGCCACTGTAACTTCAAATGGTTGCTAAATGAATGGTTGTAAGTCAAGGACTACCTCTATTTAGATTTTTGTAAATTATACAGAAATTAAAAATTACCCCTCCTCAAGGCTCTCAAATTCTGCTTGGCATGGCGATGCAGTTCCTCTACACATGCTGGTCTGGTGGAAGGAAGAAAAATGTTTCTCTCCTGATGCCAAGGGGCATGATAATACACATTCAGTTTGCTTTCTGCATCCAGGTTTGAGACAGCTGTAGAAACAAATGAAGAGGATACTTAAAGAGATTTCCAGCAATGGCCTTTTAAAATTCAATAATCTATATACATTTATATCTACATACATCGGTATAATTTCAAATATCAGTATATATTTGATACTTGATATTTTTATTAATTGCTAATAAAAAGGATCAATATATCCTATCATTTGCAATTCAGGAAACATTTATTCATAAATTCTGAAAAAGGTTCTTGAATTCATCATTTTTTAGATGCTAATAGATGTTTATATACAGTACATATATATATATATATATATATGACAAGCACGGGCCCTTTAAGAACAGCATGGCTGGTACTAATGAGTGGACCAATGACCTGTTCAAGGGTTAGAGTGCAGAGGCGGCCAGTTATATAAACTAACTCCCGGATCTGGCGTTTTTTACACTCTGACGATGTCGGTAGTTTGGCCGACGAAAGCTTAGTACTTTTTGTAGATTAAACAGCTTTGGTTTAAGATTTTTATCCTGGTGTTCGGATACTTTTATTACTGCCATGATAGGTGTATACCCAGGATTCTTGTTTTTAACGTTATTAAAGACAACATATATGTATGTATGTATGTATGTATATGTGTGTGTGTGTGGCACAGTGGCCTAGGGGTGAAGATACTCGTCTCCCACTTGGAAGGTTGAGAGTTCAATCCTAGTCAGTGAAAGATGTTTCTCTATCAGGGCTCAAAGAGAAAATATGTGTTGTGAACTCCACATAGGGTATCAGGATGGGCATCTGGCCAGTAAATGCTAAACTCCATTCAGTCACCCCGACTCCACTTCCATAAAAGGGATTACAGCGTCGTAAAAAGAAAAAAAAACTGTTTATATATATATATATATTCCTCAAATCTGAATTTTAAAGAAACTCTGCTTAAGTAAACTATGAATATAACAGAAGAAACTAAGCAAAACAAAGCAAGCATTACATGATCTTTGATTATTATTTATGTATACAATGTCATAATTTTATATTATAAATCTGATAAATCACCCAATTTTATTTTTATGTCCTTATTTCATCAGTTAAATATATTTTTCATGGCTAGTTTATAACTGAACAAGTTTCCTAGGATATATTTCTACCATTCAGCAGTAACTCAAAAACACATCCGCATTATGGATACAAGATAATGATCTCATTCATTCATGGTACTTCATCATATTCTTCCATAATTGTATTCTTTTCATGATTCCCTTTAGAGATGGTATGGACTTACATCTGCATGAATAAGAACCATGGTTAATGCCATTCCATTATCAGAAAACCAGGTCTTGCAAGTTCTAGCAATGAATGAATTTACTGATCAATAATATTAATACTATTGATAAACATTGATAATATTACTGATGTTGCAGAAATTGTGGAACTCTGAGCATTTGGGACTGTGTTGAGATCTGCCTCAACTAGATCTCCCAAGAAAGCAGAACTCTTGAAACAGGCATCATTTCAAAAGGAACTTTTATTGAGAGTTAGTGATGGCTAGAAAGCAAAGCAAGATCTAAAGATTTGGCGTGCAGAGGATTACATCAAAAAGGCAATTCATGTCACATTCCTCTCACTCAGAGGGAGGGCACCCCGTACAGAGCATAGCAGGGCAAATCACATAGCAAGCACACACACCACTAGCAGAATGGCAGGCCCCAAAAATGAATACATAAGCAAAAGCAGGAAAGAGATAAAGGGAAACGAATAAATGAGTATTTGAGGGGTTCTGACATACAGCCCCCTAACAGAAAGACAAATCCACCTGCAAAGCAAGAACGGGAAGGGGAAAAGAAAAGAAAACAAATACATCAGTTAGGCTTATCAGGATAGTGCTCATGAAAACATTTGAGCAACCTAGGAACGTGAATATGTTTTTTATAAACCCATTCATTTTGTGAAGTGGGTAAATCTTTCCAGGCCACTAAATATTGTGTGGCCCCATGATGTTTGCGTGAATCTAAAATGTCTTTAATTTTGAAGTGTTGTTTACCTTCTACCATAATGGGCTGAGGGACAGGGGCAGGTCGTAATTTAGAAGTGACCTCAGGTTTTAACAAATTGCAGTGGAAAACTGGGTGGATTTGCCTCAAACTCTTAGGGAGTTCCAGCTCCACTATGACAGGATTGATAATGCATTTAATGGGAAAAGGACTGATATACTTCAGCCCCAGCTTCTTTGATGGCTGTAGTGACTGTAGGCTCCATTCTTTTTTTTTTTTATCATCGTGTGCCTTGTAAGCTTCTCTAGCCTCATTCAAAACTTTTCTAACAACTGGCCAGATGAACTGCAACTGATGAACCCAGTCCTTAAGGGAGGGGATAGCAGGCTCGTTAGCAGGTAACTCAGGCATAGGGGTGAAACTCTGGCCATTAGCCACTTGGAAAGGAGTGAACCCAGTACTGGAGTGCACTGCATTATTATAAGCCACTTCAGCAAAAGGCAGCAGTTCAATACAATTGTCCTGTTGATAATTAATAAAACAATGGAGGTACTGTTCTAGAACTGAGTTTATTTGTTTTGTTCCCCCATTCATTTGAGGATGATGACTAGATGACAGTCCCTGATCAGAATCTAAGAGGTCCAAAAAGGCCTTCCAGAACTTAGAGGTGAATTGAACCCTCCTATCCAATATTATGCATTTTGGGGCACTATAGAGATGATAAATGTGCTGCACAAACAAGCTAGCCAAAGTCTTTGCAGTTGGGATCTTCTGACATGGGATAAAATGGGCTTGTTTAGAGAACAAATCAGTGACAACCCAAATGACATTGTTTTCCACACTTTCTCTCTCTAGGGTGCTGAAGAGCTCAGTACCGACTGTAGGAGGCCAGGCGTTTTTCCCTGCCTCTGTTTTGCAGCAGCACAAGTCGGGCAGCTGGCCACATAGCTTTCAATGTCCTTCTTTAAGGATGGCTACCAAAATTGCTGCTTAAGCAGGTGAAGAGTCTTTACAAAGTGTCCAGCTATTTTTGAATTGTGACAGGCCTGCATGATTCTCAGTCTCTGACTTGCAGGCACATACAACTTCTCCCCAACCCAAGCCAAACCATCTTTCATCAAGTTCTTCCTTCTTTTCTGGGCAGCCCAGGGATTTGGCTTTTAGGTCCTCGAAAGCTTCCACCATGTAGTGCATGGCTCGCTTCAAGATCCCCTCCATCAGGTCCAACTGCCTGTCTGGTTCTTCATCATCGGAAAGATCTTCCGTTCTTTTCTTTTGAGTCCTCTTCCGACCTTCTCAGGTGAAAGTTACTCTTTGGGTTCTTTCCTCCCAGTCCTCCTTTTTCCCAACGCTGAGTGACCATCTCGGCCTCAAGGAGTCTTTCTAGGGCAGCGGCTTTCTCCAACCAGGTGGAGGGGCCTTCTCCAGGATAGACCTGGACAGTTGACACACTACAGTCTTCAGTTCCAGCTTCTCCCATTTCGCTGCCGTGTAAAAACATGTTGTGCATGCCCCCCTTGGTAGGGCAGATGCCTCTCCAGGTTGGGCACTACTGCAGACCTTGCTTTATGTAAGGATCTGCCTCAACTAGATATCCCAAGAAAGCAGAACTCTTGAAATAGGCATCGTTTCAAAAGGTCCTGACGGTGCCAGGCTCCATTGTCTGGAAATAAGGCAGATGTTTTCATGCCACATTCCTCTCACCCAGAGAGAGGGCACCTCATACAGCGCAGAACAAGGAAAATCACATAGCAAGCACACACGCCCCAGCAGAATGGCAGGCCCTGAAAATGAATACATAAGCAAAAGCAGGAAAGAAATAAAGGGAAACAAATAAATGAGTATTTGAGGGGTTCTGGCTACATTGGCAGGACAAGGGAATGCACATGCATCATAACACAACTGGAACAAATTGATGCAAAATGTGGGTTCAGTGGAAATCATAGGTTAGATTAGGATAATTGGTTTTGTGATTGAATTTAGACAAAGAAATCCAAAGAAAACTTAAATAAAATGTGAAAAAAATACAATTGGGATTTGTAAATCAGATTTCCAATTGGAATTTGATACAAGCATGCTATCTCACGCATATTCTGCATAGAATAACATAGTAGCCACATATCTAGAAATCTATAATGGGTTGTAGGTGGCCAAAAATATTACCATATATAAGATACATGAATACCAAATGACATAGATTAAATTGATACACTAATTAATATGTCTGAGAATGAGGTCCAAACTAAAATTATGTAATATATACAAACATAGAAAGAGGCCCTATTTGCCAATGTCACATTAGACTTTTGTAGAAATGCATGAAACAGCCAAGTAGAAAGACTATTGCTAAGCAATCAGGACTTATAAGATCCCTAACATTAAATTATCCCCAACAACATCATATTATTAAGGCCCCAACTTAATAAAAATTAATAAAATAGGCCCTGGTGAACCTAAATATGGAATCAGAAATAAGTATTTCATTAAGAGAGACAGGGAGCATTTTGGGAAAAAAGATGTGACAATAATATTAGCTATGATTAAAGAAGCTTAATAAAGTTTTCTAACTATATATAAAGAGAGGAGTGGTTATATTGGAGCATGGGAGGATTCTTTGGTGCCTGGAAGATTTGAAAATAGTTTCTTGGGATCGTCAAAATGTACCAAAGTAGTCCTCGACTTATAACCATTCTGGAACCTGCCCATTAAAGTTGCCAATGGTGATGGCTGTTAAGTGAGATGGCCTTGCTTAATAATCCCCATCCCTGCTCTCCCTAACGTAGCTGTGAAACAAACATGTGGGTCATTAAATAAAGCATGGGGTGCCTCGGGGATGGGGAAGGCTTTAGGACAGGGGTCCCCAACCTCCAGTCTGTGGACTGGTACTGGGCCGCGGCATGCCAGCAACCGGTCCGCACAAACAAAGCCCCATTCGTGGGATTCAGCCAGCACACAAACCCACACACTCTCTGGTCCGTGGAAAAACTTTTCTCCACCCTAGTGCCCAAAAGGATGGGGACCTCTGCTTTAGGATACCAGTTTGACTGAGA